GGGAAATTTATAGCACTAAATAGCTTTTAGAAAAGAAATAAGGCCTCTAATTAACGACCTCCACTTCTACCTTAAGAAACCAGAAAAACAGCAAATGGAACTCTAGGTAGAAGAAAGGAACTACAATAATAAAGAGGGAACCTGAATATCCCTACAGCTATTAAAGAAACTGAATCTGTTGCTAAAAACCTCTCACATAGGGTACGGCTGGCCCATATCTACCATATAAAGACCTGTTCATGAATATTCATTGCAGCTTTATTTGTAATAGCCAAAAACTGGACATGATCCTAGTGTTCACCACCAAGTAAGTGAGTAAAGAATGATATAATCTACATAGTGGAATACTCCTCAGCAATAAAAGGAATACACGCTTGGTACTTGCCTACAACATGATTAACCTCAAAACAATTACGCTGAGTGAAAGAAGCATGATAAAGCACACACAGAGCATAGTCTATTCCTGTTACTTGTGGTTGCCTTGTTCTGTGAACAATGAATTAGCAAACACTGAACCACCGGTCCTAGAGGATGTACAGGATTAGCTTCCTGTGAGCGACAACATTTCTGTCAACTGATCAATAACTCTGTTTTATGTGTTTCTGTTTCAAGACACCTTATTTAATATATAATGTTGACTGATCAGCCCTGAACTCATAGCCAACAGCACTAGAACTCACGGCCAAATGAAGCTCCTCTAACATCCCTGTGTATTCTTTCTGTAAGGTACATCACTTGGAAACACTAGATGATGCTTCATTCAGTACAACACTTGGGAACCATTTTAAACAGTGAAATCACCAACCCAAGCATACAAGTGTGAAAACATGGCCTTAAAAAGACCACTAAAAGGACACTTGTTTATAGCATGAGAGCTGGAACAAGGCAGGGCACTGCCTTGTTTGACCGCAGCTGGAAACGTGTCTGGTGACTCGAATTTCTCACCACTATTTCCATGTCTGTGAACAAGTGAGAAAATGCAAGTATTGACTTTGAGGTGCAAACAGATTTTAGCTAGTGGGTAAATTTGCATATATGGAATCTGTGAATAATGAACATCAACTATATGTGACTCACTGATAAAAATGTTTAGAAAATATCAATAAACCTAGAGTGAGAGAGCAGACCAGTGCCCTGCTGCGGGACGGGGCTGGGGGCAGGAGGGAAGGAATTATGAAAGGACAGGAGAAGACATTGGAGGGTGATGGGTTTGTCGTCTCGACTGTGGTGGTGATTGCACAGGTGCATATGATGCAAAAACTTATCAAATTGTAACTTTGACCATACGTCATCTGTCGTATGTCATGATGCTTCAATAAAGCTATTGAAGGGAGAAGAGGAAAGAGACGTCTATGAAGTTTAACTGTGAGAGATTGCTAACTAATCAAGGAGCGAAGGAGAGTAAATTAAGGAGAGTCAAAGGCAACTTGGCGTCCCCAGTTTGACTGCTGGGTTGATGCTGATGGTGGTGTCAGTGGAAACTAGGGAATGCAGAAAGAGGATCACACTGCTGAGGAGCGGGCAAGCTCATTTTGAGGTTCCCGCCTTGGTTCCAAACCCTCTTTCCCTCCTCACATTGGAGAGCTCCCAGCTGCTGTCTCACCGGCTATGCAGACTCATGCACTCAGTTTCTCAGCTGCAGCCTGTTCCCCCAACTAGCTCATCTCCTGCAATGACACCACCATCTTCCAGTCCCTCTTCTTTTCAATCTCTCTGTCTAAAGACCGCTTGTCACGTCAGTTTATTACATCTGCTGCACATTTCTTGGCTTAACTTTTGAGGCCCTCCAAAAATGTTGTTCCAACGGATTACATTTCGTTTCTCATCATTCTCTACCCTACGCCCTCCACTTAAATCAGGATAGCTGATCTCTGGAGCACAAACCAGACTTGTTCTTAGGTTCCTTCAACTAAGAGCTCTCCATCCCTCTAAAACCTAACAGTCCAGCAGAACTTAACTGATACCCTCCCTGATTTCTTAGGGAGTCACGACTGCCAGGTGTAGTCCTTAATTGTTTTCTAATTTTCAAATGTGTCTAATTGTACACCTTCGATAGGAGCTCATTAACCAACTAAAGTGAGCAGGGCACTGACCTGGCATGATAGGCATGAAAGGTGAACAAAGGCCGCTTCTACCCTCAAATGCACAGAGCAGGGACAACAGCACGATGTCAACATCCCCAAGTACGACAGCATGATACTAGATCGCAATAGTACAGATGAGACACTTTTCGTTCTGGGTGATCAGGGAAAGCTTTATGGAAGAGCTGATGTTTGCGACAGATCTTGAAAGTTGAATAGAAGAATATTTCATATCAAAAAACAGGGCTTCGGAGGGGGAAGAAATTAAGAGAAACCAAAGGCAGAAGCATAGAAAACGGCAAAATTACGTGTTTCACGTAGGCAGGGACTGTGTCGCACACATCTCTTAACTCTCTCATGGCACTTGGTAGAGTAATCGTGCACGGTCCACATTCAGTGCGCACTTGCTGGGCCACGTTAGCCACACCAGATGCTAAGTGGTTTCATCTAGATCCTAAGTGAATAATGTGTTACAACGAGGCAGACAGCGGTACCTTTTATAAGCCTGGGTTAAGTGGCAGGAATTTATACCCCTAACATCAAAATTGGAAGGGTAATTTAAAAATAACTTTAATGGCTTTTTTTCCAGGCAGCCTAGTTAGATGTAAAGTAGCTGGTACAGTAGGATCCAGTCCCCAATTGCTCAGATATTACCTGTGAAATAGGTAGAAGACAATACTTTTTTTGTTCTAGTTTAGTAAAATGATGATATTTGCAACCTTTTCAATACATAAAAAAGGTGTTCATTACATCCATACTATATTTAGAAGCCATTTAGCCACATGTTAGTTTTGTGACATTGATTTAATTTTTACATTATCTGAAATTTCAATATTTTATTCCATTAATGTAGACATAACCCGAGTTTGTAAGTCATTTTTAAGTTTGTCATTTTTAATCCTTAGTTCCAAACTTCCAGGAAAAAAACCCTTCTGAATGAAATAGAAAATGCTTAAGAGCTATAATTAAACAGCTATAGAGATGCCCACAGTTCAAGCCCTCAGCGCCCCCCTGTGGTACGAGCCAGCCAGCACGTGCTTTTGTAGAGGGACACTCAGTGTTCCAAGAGTGACATGCCCGGTCTGACTCAGAAAATGTGACCTGGGTAATAGAAAATGAAGAAGCTCAACCTCACTCTGCGGTCGACATAGGGTTTAACAGAAGAACTGGGACTCCAGATGAAACAGGCCCCTGACCATGCTGAGCCTTACCGCTGGAGCTGAAGTCCACGGGCCCGATCCACTTGAAGGCTGGTTTCCGGCCCCGTTCTTCTGTCACGTGCACTTTCTTGATCAGAGCCAAGCTGGTCAGGACGTTGGCTATGTCATAGAGGCGTCGTACCTTTGCTTGAAGATATAAAACACAGTTACAGTTCTGCTGCCTGTGCCACCATGACATTTCAGTTTATGTGACAGGTCACTTTTCTTGGACGCCATGGAAACTTCAGGGGGAAAGCGGTGGGGTGGGATGAACTGACCAATGGCTGTCACGAAATCACCCAGGATTTATGTATCTGATGTGCCTGAAGATATATACTAAGGTCAATGTGTCCTTCCATTTCCACAGCTTCACACCTGCACAAAACAAGCAGGGAGTGCCGTGATTGCAAAAACCCCTGAGGGAGGGAAATGGGCTGTAATTAGAGGCTGAGTGAATGTAATTCTGATGCTTGGCATGTCAAAAGCTTGCCCCAGTTCCTCCCAGCAGGAGCTTCACCAGGCAGCTGGGCTGTGAAAATGACAGGGATTCCCCAGAGCTTCCGGCAAGGTGGCAGTCCCAAGTGGCTCAAGGTTATGAGGTACAACTGTGCTAAAGACATGCAGTTCCTCACCTCAAATCCCGGCCTTCTGGCCACCCAGTGGGGGAGGGGTGGAATTCACAATCCCTGAGTCTTAAGAGGTTTTAGAAGACATATTTGGAAATGCATGCACTATAGGAGAAATTCAGAAGGGGTGGTAGCATATTAAATAGGCAGAATGATGCCCACAAAGTAATTTCTATTTAAGAAATCAGTTTGCAGGTAGGAAACCCACTTGACTTCAGGGCTGAGATCAAGCAAAGGAGCTTTGATTATTGTCTAGAAACATCAAGCATTCATCCCAGATGCAATTTTCTTCCCAATCATGGTACAGCTAGAATTTACTTAGTCATTTTTCCTGCAGGGGGACTATAATTTCAGTCAAACAAACAAAAAGCTCAAGTATGCTGAGCTCATGGCTTCCCAGCGTTGAAAGGGCAGCCAGCAGCCAAGGGCATGGGGCTCGGCACCACTGCGTGATGGAGAGGTGGACGCACTGCAGAGGGCACTCGGGAGGGCGCTCCTGGTCTGGCAGCCATGTCCCACCACCCTTCCCCTTCCCTGTTCATTCCTCTGGTTCTTACCTGCAGATAACTCTCATCTCCACCCATCAGAAGGGTAAGCAGAGGGTGAGGAAAAAAGGGGAAACAAAACTCAGATATTCTGTCTTGGATGCAGCGATACTAAAGAGAAATGCAAAGCACCGTACACCCTCCCTGGCCTGCCTGTGTGGGATGGCATTCTGCTTCCACCGTCCACAGGAACCGCAGAGGAAAAAGCAGCAGACAGGCCTGTCGTGGGGATTCGGGTACACTACTGACTTACCTCTCACAGCACCAAGAACCTTTGAATGCTGGAAGGAGTGCACTTCTCCAAAAAAATAATTCTTGTACTTTCAAAGGCAGAAAACATCAGCCTTCGAAACCCCAGCCTTTTTGTGCTAGGTGGATCTAGGCGAAGAGGCTTACTTTTAAATTTACTGTGGTCTGGAGTGTCTTGGCTTTCTTCTATCAGTATTTTGGCAGCCACATCAAGAGTAACGATCTTGGTTTTAGAGACGAGGAACAGCATGACAAACTTCTGGCTCATGATTCTCAGAGACTTGTCTTTTCTGTTTGCAGAGGCTACAAGGGGAACAAAACAAAGGCATCAAAAGAGACAATTTACCACAAGCAAGACTGCACTTCCAGTTTGCCAGAACTCTCTGACTCTGCGCGTAGATGGAAAGATCACTTCTGTTGCAGAGAGAAGCCTTCTGGACACACGTCACAAAAGATGTCTCACAAAGAAAAAAAGACAGCTTTTCTTGTTGCTCATAAAAGTTCAGCAGGCATAAACTCTGAAATGAGTATGTTAAACCACTCTTAATGCTTTACACTCATACTTCATGGAACAGAATCCCTGAGGTAGTTTTCCTAAAGCAGTTTTTGCCAGGAAGGAGAAAAGGGTAGGGTGGGGACGAGGAACTGGTTTCAGAACTTGAACTCTCCCCTCAGAGGCAAGGACTCCACTTTAATTTCTCTGTGCCCACAGTACTGCACACCTTGTTTTATTGAGCTTTATTGCACTTCACAAAAATTGTGTGGGTTTTTTTTTTTTCGTTTTTGCAAACTGAAGGCAAGGACCCTGTACCAGCAAAGATTACACCTCGCTTCATTGTGGTAGTCTGGAACCAAACCCACACTAGCTCTGAGCTATGTCTGTACCTAGAATATACTCTAAACACGCAGGTGCCCCCCTCTGTCACCTTTTTTCAGAAATAGGTGAGGAAATAACCTATACCTAAATAGGAGACCCCAATGTGAGGTGCATTGCTGTGGACAGTGGGCAAGCTATCCCTAACAGATGGCTGTCTCCTCTGGTTAAGAACCGGCTCATGGGGTGGAACTAAAAGGCACGAGGCAGTGAATTGAATAAAAACCAGGGCCACCTTTCCATTCATATTTCTTAAAGTTGCAAGTGAAATGTGAATGATACTTGTACTCTCCCATCTTAGCAAGAACAGTGAAGATCAGTGGTTAAAGCAGCAAGAGAATAAGCGAGTCTGGAGGGGAAGAACAATGTAGATGTAGTGGAAACAGTTCTGCATCACATGAAAGCGGGGGTCCTCTATCTTTCTAATCAACATTTTCCACTAATGGGGTCGTTTCTAAGTAGCCTACCCCGATACGTAATTTGAAAAATTGAATTCATTGTAATGGCAACTTCTTTCAAAGGAAATGTTCCTTAAAGGCTCACAAATAGAAAGAAGCCTGGGGCTGTCAACCTGAAATGGGAGCTCTGTTAGCAACCTATGGTCCACACACCAAATACCAAGTGACCGGCCACTAGACAGGTTTTCGGTGAGGGTGAGCGGGCACCCCAGCTGGGGCGCCATCTGTCCCCCTTCCTTCAGTAGAGGGAATGAGAGGACACCTCCTTCCAGGATGTCAGTCTGGCACTTCCCACCTCAGCAGTGAATGTCTTCAGAAGAGACCCTCACTGACCCTGCTGTTACTCGCTGGTTACAGTGAACTCACAAGAGGGATAGTCGGGCTCAGAGAAATCCAGTAACTGTTGATCCTGGGGATCTGGGTAGCCATCTTTTTTACGTTCTCCAAATTTAAAATCCATCAGGTCGAGCTCTTTCTGCTGGAGGTATGCCATCTGCTCCTCATATTTCTGCTCCTCTCCCAGTCTCTGGAGGTTCCTCAGGGTTTTCGGCAGGCTGTGCCGTCCGTGCCAACCGTACTGATTCTTAGCCACCCGGCTGACTAGATGCAGCGACTCCAGCACGTTTACAATGTCATAGATGCGTCTCCTTTCAACGCCTGTTTGAAAAACAGAAGCCAACCATCATCATGCAGACTTTTTTGAGTATAAATTTCTTGAAAGCCCGGACCACGACTGTGAACTGCTTTGCACGATGCCCAGTGGAAAGCCCAGCAAGGGCGGATATGTGCTACAAATTCATCCCATAAGGATGCAAGTAACAGAAATAGTTTTCTTTCCTTTTGTTGGGGTCCAGCCCCCAGTAAGATCTAGGATAAACACCCACCTAGAGATGGATGATGCTGCTGTGGTAGTACACACAGTGGTATGTCTTTTCTTTAGACCTTTAGGCAAACCACACAAGTGCTAGTATGCCCAAGGGACACTTGATGAATGCTGGATGATTGATTTTGACTTATATTCTTAATTATGCAGACTCTAAAGTGTGTCTAATAACGGACTCTTTGTTTGGACAGTACTCTCCTTTCCTGGAGTTTGAGTGATGTGGAAGAATCATCTCGTTAACTCTCTTAATGGTGCAATAAGGAAACATGATCAATATTTTGTGTCCTACTTTACACGGGAAACTCAGGAGTCAGGAGCTCAGGCACCTTTCTCGAGTTGATGGAGGAAGCTACAGCCCGGGCTGGAACACCTTGTGAGTATCCTTTGGTTTGTCAGGCTGTTAACAATGCTCCCAGGGCTCTCATTCACCATATCCTGCCCAACAGCCCAATGGTGAAACAGACTTCACATACACTACAGAGGGACCGTCAAGTTCACCAATTCCCTATCCACTTTCCCAACACTCCCCAAGTAGCTAGGATTATGAGTTCTCTACAGAATTTAGCAAAAATATTTATGGTGGTTAGCGTGGGGACTTTGGGGGGCAGATTGCCCAGATCTGAATCCCCGGGCTGTCCCTTACCAACCAGGTGGTCCTAGGAAGTTAGTTAATCTGTCTGTGCCTTAGTATTTATCTCCTAAAATGATGAGGACTAAATGTAACCACAAAAATAAAGGGTCTCCAACGGATGTTTACTTTATATGTTATTTTGCAAATACTTCCTCTGGGCACTGGGGATCCCTAAGATCCCTGCTAGCATTAGAGGATTAGCAGAAACAGATTTTAGAAGTCCCTTGTCTGTGACTCATTCTGTTGTGCAACAGGCCTTAGGCTTTTGGAACGCCCCGGGCCCCCTTGCTCTCATCACGTATCCCTAACAGAGCCTCTAGGCATCTCCTAGAAAACCAGCCCTCTTTCTGTTCACTTGCCAGGAGCTGTTGTATAGTCAGGGCAGAACTTCGCAAGGGTAGCTTTTGTCCCTTTGAAAATTTATGAAGAGAAATAGACCAAATTACAGTGCGAACTCGGAGCGGAGAGGAAGCTCTACCACAAGCATGGAGAGGCATTTCACAGCCAATGAGAACACAGCAGCTCATGACCCTGAAAGGCTCTAGCTTCAGTGCCAGGTGTCTGCTGGGAGGTGGTGGCAGGGGCAGTCGCAGCATCTTGTCCAGACCCATCTGGTTCCTCATTCCAGTCTGTTCTCATATATTAACACATCTTGTTTAGAGAGTAACATTCGATAAACCTTCCCACTAGAAAAGTCATGTGAATGCAACCGAGACACCCCAGGGCCTGCCATATGCCGGGCTGTTTTGTTCTTTTGTGTTAGATACATGCTGTTAAAGTCTCCATCTAGTGGCTAGACATCCCAAGAAGGGAAAACAAGGGAAGGGTTTGACCACCTGGAGAGTAAGATGATATTTAATGTGCACAACAGGTGTCTAGTAGGTGATGCTGGTAAAAGCATGAGCAGCTGCTTGCATGCACAATCACTCACCTTTTCTATCTGGACTGGGTTTAACGGTCCTCTGGCTGGTGCACTGAAAAGTCCTGTTTCACAGGGCTGCCAGGAAGGTTTTCCCCAGCACTCAGCCTTCTTTGCCTTTGTATCGAGGTAACCCTATCAATCCTATTTATTCATGACATTAGCTATGCCCACAAGGATTTACCAGTTCTTACCAGGCTTCCCTTGGTCCCTGATGGAGCTAATCAAGAATGTCTCTCATCCCCACACAGTAGTTTTAGGCTGTGCTATCTTCCATTTACTACAGCCACTCTGAGTTCTTCAACTTCACACTTAAAATATCCACGTCAAATCTATTACAGGGGACCAGAATCTGAGAAACTGTGCAATGTGAATGCTCTGCACATTTCTGGTTAAAACATGGTCTTACAGCTTGTGACCTGGGACCAGCAGGCAGTTCAGACTCAACCTAAAGAGACGGGCACCGGTGAAATAACTTCCAGGAAGGGACCTCATTTTTCGACCTCACATGAAGGGAGATGGTGAGTTCATTTGGCAGGTCTAGGTGAGGTGAGGCATTAGGAACCTCTTGCAGAAATCTCTGGAGTTCTGCTGCAGGTGGTCAGAATATGGGGATCTGCAGAATGACCGGCAGCCCATGAGCAGGAGCCCACTTTCTGCACTGGAACACGGCCTTCCAACATCTAACAGTTCGTCCTCTGCACTGACATCCATGCAAGGTCCTGGCTGTATGAGCCTGATGAGAAGCACACTATGATTTGCTGTTTTACCCTCATCCTCTCTGAGGCTGGTTCCCAGGATGCTGTGCTTCCAGTGGGCCTACACCAGGCCTCTCTCTAGCTGAGTCACTTTCCCCTTCTTGTCTTGCTGCCATCAGTGTCAAAGACTGTGTTCTGCTTCCGGGTTGCAGAATGGCCCCCAATCACAGCACTCTACTTCCTCCTCCTAGTTGCAGAGGTTGAAAGGAGAGCTTAGGGTAAAGGGGCTACATCTAGTAAGAGCTGAGTGAAACTTCCATGTTACAGTGAGTCACCCTCGCCAGGCCCCGAGTTAGGCACGTTGCTGACATTATCCCGACTTTGATAAGTTTATGCCAGGTGGTGCTATGGTCCCCATGAGAAAAGGTTAATTAACTTTTCAAAGCTTTTGTAGCCTGTAAATTGGATACCTGGGCTTCAAATCCACCCTTCTCTGACCCAAAGCCCAGCCCCTCGTTTTCCCATTACAACACAGTGCCTCCTCATTATTTCCATTTCCAGCAAATACAATCTTTTCAGCCATCAGTTTGAATAATTCAGACTGACAATCCCCTATTGGCGCATATTCCTCTGGGCTGTGGGAAGAAACAGAACTAGTAAACAAACTAAAAATATAATCTTTCAAAATTATGTGTGTAAAACCTGTTTATAAAGCCAAATTTTCAAAAGAGACACCCCACACCTCCAAATCTTTGTGATTTCTGCGTATTTAATGATTGCAACATGTTCATCCACAAACCAATGGCAATTCATGTCCACTAGGGGTCCCTACTCGGAAGCGGCTGTACACATTTACAGCACATACACCATTGCACATTATACACACCCATCCATGTGACGCATGTATTCCTCTTTGTTGTAAGGTTTAGCTGTTCGAGTTATGTCCAGATGTGCTTTTTCTGGTTTGGCAGGCTTGCTGCGAGTATCACAGCATAGGACTCGAAACATAATGCTCTTGCTTTCAAATCTTGCTTTAGATTAGAAATAACACCAGTTCTGA